TATATATATATATAATAAAATGTCATAAATTCAATGGGGTAAATAGAATTTTACAAGAAATAACATCACAACAATAAAGTGTAAATTAGATAAATAAAACAAAATACACATTAAAAATAAATGACAATTTCACAAAATATTATTTTGGAAAATTGCAAAAGATGCAATTTTTTGTGTGAATTTAAATCCTAATGAAAATAATACGAATATGAAAAAAAATACAATTATGTTACCTTGGTAATAAAAAATAAAGAGAACAATAACTAGTATTTTGGGGGAATATTGAAAAAAAGCTGTAAAATATTTGTGTTAACTGACTCAAATGAAAAGGACGAATAATATGACTAATAGTAAATAAGCAACTACTTAACGAGAACATCTCAAAATAAATAACAATAATGTTCTGACTAATTGTGATAATAATTAATAAAATTAGCCCAAAGGTCGAAGTAAAAGATGAAAGCTGCTTCCATGCAGTCAAATTAATAATCATAACAGATAATATAATTTCGATATACTAAATTCAAACAAAACAATAACTATTAAATAGACTTGCATGGATTTCTGTGCCAAGAAAATATTCAGAATACTACAATATAAATTTAAAAACTTTAACACTGGCACGAAATAATGCATACAATAAATTAATAGCTACTTTAGTTTTAAAACGAATTTCTCTCAGGGTTTTTTTTTTTTTTTTGCTCCATGATTGCGTAATCTACAGTCGGGAATCGACCGGGCAGCAGCCTATTCATTTGACGCCTCGTCATTGGCTGCCGAGGACAGGAAGTGTTATGACGTCGACCAATGGGATGAGACGTTTATTCTAGGGGTTTAGTTCCGGAGTGGCCCGTTATTGATGCAAGTCGTGGCCCGAAAATCGGTGAGTAGTCGCATTTTCGGCGGCTGTACAGCTGCGTGCATGTGACGTCATCTGACACGTACGTCCACGGATGCTCGCGGCGCGTGACAGTGACAAGTGGGGCGCGCGCTTACGCTCATCTCAACCTCCGAACGTGACGTTGGACGTCGCCACACGTTTGACCCACTTATCCGCCCAGAATGGCCCCGACATTCAAACGGGTTAACGTCGTTGTGTACCCAAATAATTATTTCATCTAACGATTATTTATCATTCAACGACGTCTCTGACATCACTTCCCGCTCTTTTGAAAACGTATTATTGATCCACTGATGGCGTGATTAAAGACCACCTGCCGTGGATCTTGTCTTCGTTTGTTTATGACTGTCAGCTCTGAAATGAACGCAAGAGGGCGCCAGATCTCAGTGTTGACTTGTTATTCAACAGGTTGAGAGGACATGAACATGTACCAGGTTCCCAGCCCGGGAATACCAGGCTGTCCACCTGGACTGGAATACCTGACTCAGGTAAACGTTACATATCCTTATTTATTCTGTTATTTTATACATTATTTTTATTAGCAGAAATACAGAGGTGGCACTCACACTCTACAGCAGGGGTGTCAAAGTCAAATGGACGGAGGGCCAGATAAAAATTTTTGCTGCAAGCCGAGGGCCGGACTGATCGAATGTTCATTGAAAATTTTAAAAATAACCACATATTGTTTATTGAACCAAATTTAATTGACTGAAAACCTAACAAATACATTCCAATACGGTCAGATAAATAAAGCAACATTTTTTTAAGGCTATGTCAGTAAACTTTAATTTTCAACAGGCACAAAAAAATTTCCTTTGTATAAAAATACCCATAACATGAATGAAAGAAGCCGATATTATTCAAGGCACTATCACTAGTCCATATTTTCTCTTTTAGCAAAAGTAGGCTAAATTTACTTAAAAGAAAAACAAATAATAGTGCAGTAATTTTCGATCATTTACTCGAATAAAATATTTTTAACACATAATTGGATTGAAATACAATAAAATGAAGTGCAAAAATGTATAAACCAAAAACAACACTTTCTTCAAGAAAAAAACTTGAACTGAGTAAAAACTCTTAGTATGTGATTGCACAGTATATTATAAGTAATATTCACTTCTTTGAGGCTGAGGCTGATACTCGGTGGTGTCTTAACTTTTCTACAAGTTCATCAATATTTGGGGTCAGGCTCTGAGCTGAGCAAATCCTCAACATTGAGTGAGGGTGTTCAGCAGTAAATCGACTTCTGTGTGATGTTTTGTTCAGCTTCATCAAAGAAAATAGTTGTTCACACACGTATGTGCTGCCAAACTTTCGACAACGTTTGAGCAGCCTGGATGCGCAGCGGGACCACTGTGTCGGGGAGGAAACCGTCAAACTGCGCAGCACGCACTGCCGTATCTTTGCAGAAACACTGCAATTGTGTTTCTGCTAATGCTCACGTTTAAAAAGAGTTGCTTTTTTTCGGGGTAAACTTCGTCACAAACTTTAAGTATACCGTTTTTAATGAAATCCCCCTTCCCCTCCATGTCCATGTTCTTGTTTGCGTGTTTCGTTTCATGATGTCGTCTCAGATTACACTATTTCAATCGCGCCACACTTTCTCCACACAGAAGACACACAGGTTTTCCAGCTACGTCCATGAACATGTTCTTCGACTCTCACCTTGTTTGAAACCCCCGGTTCTCAGTGTCCACCTTCCGTTTTGCCATTTTTGATGGGTATCTGAAAGCTAATGTCACTGTTATGGGAACGACTGCTAGACGAATAAATATTTAAATAAAGCGGCCGACTGCTTGGCGCGTCACCGTTGCATTGTGGGAAATGTAGTTTTGGTGCGTGTAAAAGATCTGCGGGCTCTCGGCTTGCTGCGGTCCGCGGGCCGGTTCTAATAATAAATCAATATCATCCCAGGGGCCACTGAAAACATTCTCGCGGGCCGGATTTGGCCCGCGGGCCGGCACTTTGACATATGTGCTCTACAGCCTATTGAAGTACAGCAGATATTTGTGTGGAAAAAAAACAACAATTAGGTAAAAGTACATATTGAAGCAGGAGCTCAGAACATTCAAAGAGAAGTACAAATAAATAATTGATGAGTTCATGTATAGTTGATCATGAAATGTAGTCAAACAGCCATCCCACCCTATGATGGTACTACTCATCTGTTTGTTCGACCCTGGCGGAGGTCTTGCTCAATTGATAGTGATGTTATTGCTAGAACAACCAATCTAATGGTGGACGAAGACTTTTGCGTACTAGTTTTAGCCCAGTAAAGTGAACCCCTGCATATTTGTGGTTCGCCATTTGCAACGTGACACTGTGATCTCCATGATAATATTTTCAGCGTCTGCTTTCTAGGTGGACCAGCTACTTATCAAACAGAAGGTTGAGCTTGTTGAAGGTAAGCGAACACGGTTTCGTCTTTTTTTTTTCCATTTTCGACACCTACGGTAAAAATACATGTGCAGTTCAGGTGTTATCCCCTTAATACAGTAGCACGTCAATTGTCGGCCCTCGCAGCTCTCGTCGGATTCGAGAGTAACAACAAATATGAGGTGCGTAACTCCATGGGCCAGAACGTGTTTTACGCCGTTGAGGAGAACGACTGCCTGAGTCGCCAGTGCTGCGGTCCCATGCGCCCCTTCTCCATCCACATTCTGGACAACTTTGGACAGGAGATCATCACTGTCACCCGCCCGCTCAAGTGCATGTCCTGCTTCTTCCCGTGCTGTCTACAGGAGGTAAGACCATGCTCACATTTCCTATATCAGAGATGAAAGTGGACTTTTCTGAAAATTCCGGAAAAAAAAAAAAATATATATATATATATATTTATATCGCGCGCGCGCACGCGCACACACACACACACACACACACACACACACACACACACACACACACACACACACACACACACACACACAAGGGAGGGGGAAATACGAGAGCGGGGTGAAACAAAACTGTGGTTGACCAAAAGGCTTATTTGGTGATACGATCTGTGTGTGATTTTCATTTTTAACTAGGTTGTGAGGCTGATTTGTTTAAATGTACGTACAACAATAATGTATGGAATCATTTGAAAGACATGACAAGTATTTTGAAGCAGTGTTTTGTGCATACAGTACATGTTGTGGTTCAGCATGAGAACACAGTGTGAATGTTTACACCAGTGACTCATTACACTAAATGAAATAAGGCGGCACAGGTGACGGAATTCACCTCAAAAACACACACAATGTGTCATTTCCAAAGTTCAAATTATGTAAATGATAACAGTCAACCATTACGGGATTTGGATAAAATAGACATTTGTTATTGTAACGTCCCACCTTCTACCTATTCCCTGATACAATACAATCAATAATTCCTGCATTATTGAAAACACTCTAATTTCATTGTCTATTTAAATGCAATTATGGAAATCAATTGTTGAATCAAACAGGTTACTGTAGGTCATCCAAACATATGACGCCATCGTGTGGAATAAAACTGTTACTGCACCCCAAATTATCTCACTACAGCTGTGAATACGTTTTTTTTCTCCTTTTCTCATCAGGGGTTCTCAAACTTTTTGTGCGCGTGAGATTTTATTTTCCACTTATAATCATAACTGTAATCAAGTAATCATGACTGAAACGTGCACCCTTAAATGCCACGGGGTTTATTTATTTACCTGAATGCGTGGCAAGTATCTGATCCCCTGAGATGCAACATCTCATTTGCGTGGGGCTTCCCACATGACAAAAGACACCACGACAGGGTGAACAGTTAGTTAACAAAAATGGATTAAATAACTAACACTAAAATCTAAAAAACATTTTTGTTGATGAAATAAAGTAAAATTAAAACGAAAGTACTTTTCAACTCACTGTAATTTTAGTGAAAATGTCCTTCGTTTTCATCTTGGCGAATTAAACTATTTCGATGCGTCCCAACTAGTTTAACACAGCATTTTAATTAATATTTGATTGTGTAAATAAGCGCCAAAATCCACCGATTTTTATCTACCTCAGGGGCGGACATTTTGCCACTTGCCGTCGACTAAAAATGACATCACAGTTGCTCGGGTGATGACCAATCAGGGCTCAGCTTGCAAATATCACATAACCAAACTCAAAAACGGGTGAAACGTGATTCGTTTGTTAGTGTGGAAAAAATGAGATTGACTCTTTCACGATTTGTCTCATCTGGCACACTCATTTATTGGGGAGAAAGTAAATGCTGATTGTCCTCTTCACCATTAGCTATTGGTTACAAGTGTTATTTGAAGGCTGTAGATTCTCGCGATTACAGTACGAGATGATTAAACATAAGAAAACTTTTATTTGTCCTACAATGGAGAAATTCCCATGATTAAACATAATATAGGACAAGAAAAGATAAGAAAACCTTTGCCTCACAATGATGAAATTCCCACGATTAAACATGATTGACTTAAAAACCCACACCCGGTTAGCTAAACGCAGAATTGACTGTTTCAGGAAAGGCCTCGATCACCAGTGAATGAATGTTAACCGATCCTCCGTAGTAATCCTTACACCTCGTTTTTGCCCGCTCCGATGGGGCAGGAAATCCCGGTGCCTTTGAGGCCGCAATAACCTTCAGGTTTTTTCTTCAGGTACTGCTGGTGGTAGTCCTCGGCATAGTAGAACTGCTGTAACTCCACAATTTCTGTCGTGATGTGGCCCATGCCCTTTGCCTCCAGTTCCTGTGGATAAAACGCGGGTGGAAGTGTGACACCAGTGCAGTCATCACAAAAATATTGGGTGGAAGAATTATTGTGAATAAAAGTGCAAAAACTGCGTGTTACAACCACATTTTTTTTAAATTAGAGTGGGTTCACAGCAGGACTAGGCAAACTTTGGTGCCTGAAGTAGAAGTGAAGTCAACTATTTTCTTTTCAATATCCTCCATGTGATGCCACTAGTCTAAATATGGTATTCAGATTAATAGTGTATTTGTGGAATAAGAATTAAGCAGATTCATCCATCTGCTTTCATTCATCTGTCGACTGGAATTGATCTCATGTCAAAGTCCCCTCCAGTTTGAATTGTAAACATCACATGACCAAATCAAGACAACAGAGGAGCTGTCAATCAGCAGGCGACATGAGACCAAATCCATAAAACAGGTGAGCAATGCGAGCCCGAAGGCACTTTTACGTCAATGTCAGTCGACGGCAGGGGCCGGTGCGGGATAAAATGGCCGCTGCCTGAGATGGATGAAAGTGGGTGGATTCATCTGATGAATTACTTTTCCACAAACACAATATTAATCAGCATATCATGTTTAGATTTGTGTGGGCACATAGAACACATTATGGCAAAGATGGTATTTTTTTTTGTTTGTTAGGTTTTTTTGTTTTGTTTTGACTTCCCTCCATAAGGGTCACATTTGACTTTTAAAACAAACATTGACAGAAGTTTGCTTATGAGACCTGGTATCAGTCTTTGGCGATTACTACTTTCCGATTAACCTTGCGTTTGGTGCCATTTTGTGGCATTACAGTAAGAGCACAAAAACAGCGGAAGGCGAGTTTTTCAATGAATAGTGAAGAATTGGTATCACAGAAAAAAACAAAACAAGAGGTGAATCGTGAAACATAAACAGGTGTGGCTTCACAGTACTGTATTCTGGGTTGAGGGAATGTTCAAAGTTGTAAGCGTTAAATGCGCTAAATGTATTTACAAAAAAAAAAAA